AACATTGGGCTTGATGGTGCCGTCTGCATTTCTGTTCTCTTTCCGTGCATAATGCAGGCCCATCTTGTGGTCCATGCCATCCTGGCCAGGAGGGAACAGGAGATATTCCCTTTCTTCTTGAAGCTGTTCATAAGCAGCGACAATGAACTTGCTCTCAAAGCGAAGAATAAACCTTGACAGGAAGACAAGGAACTCGCGACGGACCATTGGACTTCCGTCGTTGGCCATGTCTAGAAGTGTCCAAGCGATGGATTCTTCGATCCGAGCGACCTCATCCGTCAGGTCGATGATGCCAAGGAAAGTAGTCATGGAATACACCATGGCAGCTCGGACTTCAGGAACAGGATCCTTTGTCAGAAATGACAACTTGGCTGGCGCATTCTCTCGAATGCCACGCCATTTAGCCTCTGGGAGTTCCTGCCACAGCTGACTGATGCACAGACACGACCACTGACGCAGGAGCGGATTCTCTTGATTCTGCAGGTGCATTAAGCAGTAGGTCATTATGTCGGTTTGGTTGCACACATGCTGCCCTGGCTTATAATCTTTGCAGAGCATCGATAGAATGAAAGCGCACATCGCCTTATGCTCAGCTTCGTTAACGACTGGCAAGCCCTCGGACGGCTTCAATATCTGGGCAAAGTAGTTGTATCCGCTGTCCTTGATAAGGTCCTGCTGGCATGAGATATCCACAGCCAGAATGCGGGTCCAAATGAAGATCATGACCGGCTTCAGCTCTGCGGCAGCGGACTGCAACAACTTGAGGACATATGGGAAGATGCCTATGCTCAGGGCAAGCTGGACTGCCCAGGGGCCTAAGTCGAGGAATCTTCCGAGCAAGATGAGCGCTCTGACTCTGTGCTGTTGGCTCAGCAGAACTTGCAGCACCACTGGAAGCTGCTCAGGGGGCCTCTGAGAAAGTGCATCGCCACGAGTCAGGTAAACGTCGAATGCTGTTAGTTGTTCGGTGAAAAAGGTTGAGTTCTGGTACTCGTACTCGAGACCTTCGTTCTCCTTTCTCTCCAGCATAGGCAGTTGGGCTAGTGCCATATCCACGGCCAAGTCCCAGCTTGCCCACAATGGGTGCTGCCGGGTCTCAGGGAGCTCGGGGAAAGACTGCGGATGGCACCCATAGACAGACATGATTCTCTGGGCTAGGAGAAAGTTGCGGAAGAGAGCGGCCACCATGAGATCCTGCCTGAAAAACTTTCGGAATAGGTGTCGGGGCAGTGTAGTCCAAGCGATAGTATCCGTGATGGCTGTGAAGATCCAGTTCAACTCGCCGAGTGGCGTTCTTCTCTCCTGTAGCCTACCGGGCAGCTTCTTGGCGCGCTCTGGGGTAAGATTCGTCTTGAGGGGGTTTTGAAGAACGAAGAACCAAAGAGCCATTTCGATAGGGGTAGTGAGACATGCCGTGAATAGATCGGCTGGGAGGAGAGGGTTGGTAGGGAGATTCTCCTTGACGCCGCAGGCAGCTAAGTGGATATAGGGCTGAAACACGGTCTTCTCGTAGTTGGGATCTCTCGCGGCAGCTTCGTCCTCTTCTTGTTCGTGCTTCTCGACAAATCTGTGGTAGTTGTTGAGGATGTTGCCGGCTTCGGAACAGTCCCAGACGTAAATCGTAGGGGCGTGAAGCCACTGTTGAAGATCGTATAGCGATACTGGGATGTACTGAGTGTAATTCTTATTAAAAACCCAGATCTCTCCACTGGCAGTGGGCTTCGGCACGCCGTGGCCATTGTAATGAAGAAGAACCCGCTCATCCTTGGCGTTTCTACGCAGGGACTGGCAGAACTTTTTGGTCTCTTCCACCGACGGATCGAGGTACTGCTTATATCTTGTGCGTATAGCCAGTGTCTCGTACTGCGCCTGGAGGGCTTTGCCGATGTTCTCGAGGGCCTTCTGAGGTGGCGGCGTTGTAGGGTCTGTCCATGCTTCCAGTTTGGCGCCCGGGTTCGTCTTAAGCTGGTCGGGAGGCTCGACTGAAATATTAAGGCAGACGGCCAGCGCAGCAGATACTGTCTTAAGTCTATCTCGCATGCGCCAATCCTGCAGCTTGTGTAATGTCGCCTTGGGCTTGCCGGTTGTCTCGTGTCGCTTGTCGGTCCAATACATGTACCAATTCTGGAGAAAGGAGTCAGCACGGCTCAAGATGCGAGTTGAAACCAACGAGTCCCAATGGCGCAAAAAAGCGATGTTGTCGCACTCGGGCTCGTCTGGATCCAAGACTGCCAATACGGTTGTCGGCCCCATCCACCCGGGAGACTGCATCGTCTGAAATGTCTAGATGGTAGTGGAATGTAGATTCGCGCCCTGGATACGGTCATGCCCCGCGTTGCCCCTCGGGACTGGATTCTGGGCAACAGCGTCCCAGCATGTCGTACGAGCAAGCCAAAAGAGCAGAGCACCAAGTCTCCTTTCTTTGCGCGACGCGCGCCGATAGGAGACTATGGTTAGACCAGTCCGGCTGGACAGCGCCGCCACAAGGCCGCCAAGTGGGGAGGCGCAGAGCTTGGGGTGGGAAAAAGGAAGAAGGGCACAAAGTGTAGATGGAGAAGGCGAGAGAAGTTGTAACTCACATTTGCTATTTGGGCCAGGATTTCCGGCGACTCGTGATATTCATCGAAGCCATGTCTGGCGCCCCAATGAGGGATATCTTCTTCAGAGTGATCAACCTCCTCGGGGCGGCTGACTCCAAATTCGCTCTTGGATCGCATAAGCAGCGGTTTCACGGATGGCCGCTTCGGTCGATCCGAATCCGATTGTTCGCCGGTAGAGAAGCCGGCGGCCAGATTCTGTTTGTTACCAGGGGCACTTGAAGGGCGTCTTGCATTGCTATCATCGTGGCTCGTGGATCGTTGAAGTGCTAGAGGGGGAGCAGCACCGCCGAATGGTGAGGGTTGAGTTGTCGCATCGGGGAAGGCGGAGGATCCGTTAGGACCCTGAGTTTGCGGCATGTTGTTGGGACTTCCATTAACTCCGAGCAGCGCAGTGCTGTTTGTCCTCCGCGATATGCTGGCGTAATGTCGAGGTTGAGAAGTTGAGGGTGTGGGTTTGGAGGAGCTCGACTGTCGAAGGTGACTGGCGGGCGAGGGGCGAGAATGGGTCTGATCTTGCGCAGCGGCAGCCGTCATCTTGACGGTGACACTGTCGTCGAAATTCGAATTTGGCGCGCAAACCAGCTATAAATCGATTACCGCGACGACATGTCGGTCGTGAGGTGTCGGGTAGGATGAGGTGGATGAAGATATTGGATAGGCGATTGCGTCGGTGACGCGAATTTGGAGTTTTTGGAGAGGTTGACGGGAGTGACAGGTTAGGTCGGGTCAGGTTGGCAGCGCAGCGCAGCGGCTAACACCCGACTTCAGCTCAGCGTGGCATGCAGTGGAGGTGCCTTACACAAGGTGAGGTGCGGCAGAGGTGCACCAGCCAAAATTTAGGAATGGTACCTTGGGCTGAGGTCAGCTTCGACCATCAGCCTATCAGGTGCCGGGAGCAATCACCTGCCTTCTGCTTCGCTCGCTCCGACAGCTTCTTCCGATGTTCCGATAGAAGTATTCCTAATATTCACCTGTTTCCATCCTTTATGTCTTTTGATATAATCACTTGATGCTTCTAGCCAAGAGACAAGTGATGATGAGCATTTCTTAGGTACTTAGGATCAATGGTTCATCTTATGTCCAAATTGTACTTGGGTCACATGGAGATACCTTAAGGCATGTTACCTTAGGTACCTTATGTACTATAAATGTATGGAAATGGCAAAACGAATCAGAAATGATGGACGGGAGGCAATTGATGACCCGACCCTGACCGCCTTTCAGCTCCACATCTCCGCATTTCGTCCAGTCTCCCGCGTCCACTCTGGCGAAGCGCAGAAGACAGGAACAGATCCAAATCGGGGGGAGATGAGGTAAGACGGCCTCGGCCGGATGCACGGTCCAGGCCCGGCTCAGAGAGTCAAAGGCGCTAGTCCATAATGAGCAACCCGAGTTCCAATTCAATGCACCTTCCTCCGCAGGTTCTTGAATCTTCACATGGCTCTTTCTTGTGGCCTCCCTCGTGCGACCAGCATTTAGCAGGACCAAAGTTCAATCAGTCTCATTCTGTCAAAGGCTAGGGTGGCATGAACGAACGCATCGCGCTCCGCGTTTGTCCTGGGAAAGTAGTTGTGGGCCGGTCCTTGCTCAAAATTGTACTTGCGAACGCTGAACTGGTTTTATGCGGCAGGTCCCGTTGGATCACCGCAATTGCCCTCTGTAAATGAACACATGGGGATACTTCGAAGGTGGTGGTGGATTCCCAAGAAATGGAAGTGTGCCTGGCAATCAATTGGATGTTTATCAATCTTGCGACATACGCTATCTACGCGGCTATACCATATCGCAGGCTTATTCACAGCGCGAGCAAATCGGAGAAAACATTCCTCGCAACATCACTCAAGCACGGTGGGGAATGGGCTGGCGGGAGGCGGGCGTGTCAGAAACAATGTCTTGCCCCAAACGGCCGGCTCGCTCTTCCTCTCCTTTTTGTTTCCCTTCTTTCCGTATCTTTTGCGGGGGTGTCGTTTTCCTTTTTCTTCCCTTTTTTTTTTCTTTCTCCCCTCTCTTCTTTTTTTTATGGATCGTCGCATCTCTCTCCGTTGGCCTTGCGCACGTCATACCCGCCGTGGTGCGTATCCATGACCCATTTACCTCTGTCCTGACTCCTGGGTTTCATTGGCCTTTGTAGCTGCCATGATACGAGGTGGGATTCGCTTCAAGTTGCAAGCTGCAAGTGGACTATGGAAATCCATCGCTTGTGTTTCTTCTGAATTGCGGCTTGGCCGTTTCTGCCTTTATGCTGACGACGACGATCACGACGATGAGGGGGGCGCCCGCTATGCTTGTAGTTCACCGCATGGCCTGCTTCAGGGTCATTCGTTGTTGAGACGGTTTATGCTTGGAGACCTGCCCGATCGCCGAATGCGGCTGCGTTTTTAAGACTCTCGACGTTATAAGATGGACTGGTCGGTTCGTCGTCGGCCGGTGCGTCCAAGCGCCATCAGAGGTCATCGCGAGGGTCCATCCTGTTTGCTCAACCAGCTCGAACCTGGACCGACCCTGCCCCCAACACGAGCCTCAATTCCCATCGCCCTCGCTCACGCCGTCGACGATCAAAGTTGGACGCCAGCCGCCGCCGCCGCCGCCGCGTGGCCAGCTTTCCGTCTCCCGCCTGCTTCAGGCCAACGCTAATGCTCGCTCACCAGAATGAACGTTCACATCTTGCTCTCAGACGCGCCCTCTCAGTACAACATTCTTGCGCCGAATTTAGCAGGCAGGCTAAGCCGATAGGTTAATTTGCCAGAATTCCATGCCTTTTTCCATCAAAGTCTATCTCTGCGCCACCACCACCCTTCCATTGCACATGCGCCAGGAGTCTTCAGGCAAGGCTCACGCCCAATATGGCATGGTGAGATGTTTTCAACGTCTGTGGTGTGGAGCACGCTCCCTGTCCTGTCCTGAGCCGTGGTTTGCACAGTGTACCTACTCGGACATGACAGACATCGCGACAAGTGCCGGTATCTATTTACATGCTTTGAAAGGAGACCAACAACGTCCGTTTTCTCCCCCGTCACTCATGGGACCTTCGTCCTCGGAAGTTTTTCCCGTCTCCTTGCTCTTACGCCGTCCAATTCTTTGCGGCCGCTGCCGAATTTCGAAGCTTCAACGAGTCCGTGTGCCATGAGGGCTGCCGAATGGCGTTGAAGCTTTGGGAGACTTGAAACGCACCACCTCATGGCAGATGGACCCCCTGAAGGGAAATTATCCTCAACGTATCAATGGAACCGCCGCCCTCTTTGACTGCTACGGAGGAGATGACCCCCTGAAGCCACGAGTTTTGCGGGCTACCGTTAACCATTAACAGCGTCTGTTATACCCTAGAGTAACATGGGAAGAATCTTCTCATTCCCACGAGCCTCATCGTCTTTTCCCTCTTTTGTCGTCTCTGTTCCTTGGCGGCTGGCCCGGGGCCCGGAACGAGGGCGGGAACAAGATGAGGATGTTCATGAATTCCTGTGGCATGGATGCGCCGCCTCGGCCGCTTGTCAGACATGTACGTACGATGAGTACATGCGCCGAGGACATTTGTTTGAACAGGCCGGGATGAGATCCTTTGATACGCTGTTTCTTGCTCAGCTTGCCCAGACTGGCGGCAGGGTGTTGGGGGCCGGAATGCCAGTGACTGGACGTCATGTGCTTCCATGTCTCATCCCGAGACCTGATGTTTGTCAAAGAAGAAATACACGACGAATATCCTAAGTGTACTGTACTTGTCGCCCGTCCAGTCCACGGGCATCACATTGACTTTTAGGACCAGCTCGTGCCTCGGGTAGGTGGCACAGAATACGACATTTACGGGTGCGCGGACGTTCAGGCTTCAGCAACAAGAAGGCTGACAATTTTGACTGCAGAAGATGTTCGTACTAGAACGGACGTCGCCCGACTCGAGCCTCAGGATGTGTGCTACCTTTCATAGTATCGTAATGGGGGCAGCAGTTGGAGTAGTTGGAGCCTTTGATGGGGCCCGATGTCACGTTGATGATGTGAGCGGGTTGTTGTTGAGGTTTCCTGTCCTAAATGGGCAAGATTCCACAGTCTCTTGACTGATGGCCATGGGTACGCATACCGGGGCCAAAGACTGGCAGAGAACCCAGAAGGTATGTGTGTCCCTTGAAAGGAGATGGAACAGCTGGCTCTAATAACTCCGTACAACTCGTTTCTGGAGGGTCGGGAAGATCAGCGCCAGGAAGGCTGATTTGACTCTGACTCAAAGTCGCACATGGCACTTGGCGCGCATCAGCTTTTGTCGAGAGTGCAGAGGCAACGAGATGTCGAGGGTGCGAAGCTTTCCACCCGCCTGCCTCGCTTTGGAGTTGAAAGAGGAGGTTGAGAGAGAAGTCTTCGAACAATAGGTGGGCGGAAAAGTGGGAGCTAAGCACCCAAGGTAAGTAAGGTACAGACTCGGTCGGCAGCCAGCAACCAGTCGACGGGACGGCCGCCTCAGGTCGTGCTGGAGAAGCCCTTGGTAGTAATAATAGAACAGAGAACCTTTAATCCTCATCGAGATGTTTAGATGTTAGTGTAGATACACGGGATACCAAGCCAAGGCAAGCCAAAGTCAAGTACCTTTTTCGCACTTGAGCCAACACCTAGCTAAGCAGCACCGGTCCCCTTTGTCGCTCCGGTGGCAGCCTGTCAGGTAGGTACCTACGTAGTACGCTCTTACGGCATGCTTAATGATACGGTGCAATTCGCAAGGCCTCGTCGTGTCTCCAGCTAAGGTACCTAGCCCGCCCCTTTTGAAGGAAACGGGAAGCAGGCCACCGTGCATAGCGATATACCGAAGAGTGACACAGTTTGAAAGGTCGTGGCCCACGTGGCGTCGAGTACTCTCAATGTCCCGCCTGATGTCCGAGAATCCTAGGTGCCTTCCATTCTCTCCTTTCCCCCACCCACCTTCGCGAAGAAAGCGCCTGCAGCCTCCCCGTGCTCCTCTGAAAAAGTTTCCCCTTCTGCTTGGATGCTGGGCTCTCCCCTACTCAGCCCTTGCACCCCCATCCATAAGCGAGCGGAAACTCAAGCTGCACGACATCCCATTGGCCCAACATCAGCTAAGAACAGGCCCCTAGACGCAAGTGCAGAGTGCAGATGTGCAGGGCAGGTTGCAGGGCGGGCTAAAGCAGTCAAGTTGGTGGGCGGAGAACAGGCCAGCGCAGCGACCCAGCGGAGCCAGTCAGTGCAGGGACAGGAGCCCCCCGAAACGATGGAGAGAGAGACTACGAGTGCCCAGGTAGGCTGTAGCCCAATGGCAGAAGGTACTTGGTAGCTAGCACTGGGCTGCAACATTTTTAGGTGCACTTTACCAGGTTCCGCCGTTACTCCTGCATTTTGGAGGTGAATTCCATCAGCCCAGCAGCATTGGTCCAATGTCTTTTTTTCCCCTTCCGCCCCCTTCCCCATCGCTTCCCAATCCCAAGAGTGGCATTTCTCCCAAAACCTCCTTTCTACAACGGCGGAGAGAGAGAGGTAACGAAGTGACCGACACACTCTCGGAAAGACCACTCTAGCCAGGCATTCTTTTCTTTCGCTGCATCACCAGCTTCCTGTCCAACTTCGACCCTCCTTCGCTTTGCGATCGCCGTATCTATCAGCAGACACCTGACTGCGTCTTCCTGGCCCGAGAGCCTAAAGTAATAATAAACCGACCACGGACAGAAAAGATACGGCAATCCGAAGGGGAAAACGCCTAAGAAGGACCAAAAAAAAAAAAAAAAAAAAGAGTAATCAAACCCCTAAAAATCCGACGAGCCAACCCCCGTCAGCAACAGCTCTGCGTACGCGCGGAGTCAACATCGTCCCGTCTCGCCCAACACCCAGCCTCCTTTCGTTTCTCACCCCTCGCTCCCTTACCACCTTACTCGCTTCACTGCGCCGACGAGGAGGACCGCAATAAAAAAAAAGACGAGGTCGAACATCGCAGGACGCTCCTCGCCTCAGCAACGCGCGCTACCCCGGGCACACTCCACCGATGCGAACCCAGCCATCCGCACACTCGAGCGTCGACTCCCTTTCCCGTTCCTGCGTATCTGCTGCGTTCCTGCATCCGCTGCATCTCCATCGCGCCTCACCCGACTCGGCTTCACAGCGAACTGGCGATAGCACCCACTACCCGCATCATCGACTCCACGACTAACGTGCGACTTGAGCGACTTTTTCCATTATCCTGACGCCCCTAAACAACTTGTTCAACCAACGACCGAAACGATTTAATTGATACCCTCCAAAATTCCGGGCGCTCTGGATACAACTTACGAGCAAGTCTCTTTGCAACTGCCGCTCAGCGTGCAGGCCTCGATTTGATTCGCCATGGCTTTTCTTTTCAAGTCCAAGAAAAATCAGGATCGAGCTCTTGCAAGCCGCGATGGAAACTCTGGCGGCTCGCAGGGTTCAATCCAGAGTCAGCGAGAGAGAATCGCGAGAGAGGAGAAGAACGGCACTCAGCGCTCAACACCAACCGGTAGCTTGAACTCAATCGATCGCGATGGCAGCGCCGGTGCTGGAAGCCCTGACCAGGGCTACACTCGCCAGCGAGGACCCAGCGTGGACCAAATACCGACACAAGCGCCTTCAAATGATTTGCCTGTAAGTTTCTCCAGCTCACTTTGATGAGCTGGCACTGCTGGGACACTGCTGACCTGTTTCCCAGCTTCGCAACGCTCCGCCCGTATCCTCGCAAAACCAGATGCCTCCCCAACAACAAATGATGAACCCTAATGCGTCACTATACCCCTGGTCGCAACGACGACTGACATATACCTCTTCACACCCGAGCCCTTTTCCCCGTTATGGAGCGGCTGTCAATTCGGTGTCGTCCAAGGAGGGCGATATATACGTGATGGGAGGTTTAATCAATAGCTCTACCGTCAAGGGCGATTTGTGGATGATCGAGGCCGGGCAGAATATGGCCTGCTACCCTCTGGCGACGACAGCCGAGGGGCCAGGACCGAGAGTTGGGCACGCAAGTTTGCTCGTTGGCAACGCCTTTATCGTCTACGGCGGTGACACCAAAGTCGATGAGATGGACGTCCTGGACGAGACACTCTATCTTCTCAACACCTGTGAGTTCTATACTAGTCATTCCCCGTGCGCCCCCTTGCGAGAAGTTGGGCAATCGCTAATCAATACCAGCTACGAGACAATGGTCGAGAGCATTGCCCGCTGGCACCAGGCCTTCCGGCCGCTACGGCCACTCTCTCAACATACTTGGATCCAAGATTTACATCTTTGGAGGTCAAATCGAGGGCTATTTCATGAACGATCTCGCTGCTTTTGACCTTAACCAGCTCCAAATGCCCAACAATCGCTGGGAGATGTTGATCCAGAACACTGAGAGTGGCGGACCGCCCGTCGGCAAAATTCCAGCTGCCCGAACCAACCACTCTGTGGTTACTTACAATGACAAGATGTATCTGTACGTAATGCGTCAAGTCTTGCGCTGGTATCACTGCTGACGTACTCTAGTTTCGGTGGTACAAACGGTTATCAATGGTTCAACGATGTTTGGAGCTACGATCCCGCCACGAACGAATGGACGCAACATGACTGCATCGGCTACATCCCAGTCCCTCGAGAGGGTCACGCTGCATCAATTGTCGACGATGTCATGTACATTTTCGGAGGACGAACGGAAG